AAAAAAGAAAAAGAGGAAAAAAAGAAAGAAATAAAAAATAGAAATGATATAATAGGAATAAAATAAATGAGAAAGATTATATATTATAAAGTATAAGTAAATCAATATATAATGGAGACACATACACAAACAACGACAAACACACACACAAACAAAAAAAGATAAATATGTAAATAATAAATATAAAGATATATATAAGGGAGATAGGTATAGAGAGTAAAATAATTACTATATATAACACATACACTACAAGAAATAAAAAGTACCGATATGAGGCCTAGACTCCGATTACGGGCTCTCTATCTCATATCAATATATATCGTGTATTATATACTACTACTACTAAGAATCTTCCTGCATAATATATGTGGTGGTGTGATGGTGATATGTGTGCTGTGTTGTGTGGTGTGTGTGTGTGTGTGTGTGTGGTGTGTGTGTGTGACTGTGTCGTGTGTGTGTGGTGTGTGTGCGATGTGTGTGTGTGTGTTGTGCGTGTGTTTGTGTTGGTGTGTGTGCGTGTGTGTGTTGTGTGTTGTAAGTGTGAGGTGTGTGTGTGTTTGTGTGTATGAAATGTGTGATGTGTGTGTGTGTGGTGTGTGTGGTGGTTGGTGATGGGTGGTGGGTGGGGGAAGGGGGTGTGTGTGTGTGTGTGTGGGATGTGTGAAATGCCTAGTGTATGGTGTGCTGAAGAAGGGTTGTGTTGGGTAAGGAGCGTTTGTGTTGTGTTATGTCTATGTGTGTGACGCATGTGTATGTTTTGCGTGTGTAGGGGTGTGATAGTATGTGTTTGGCGTAGTGGTATGTGTGGTAATGCTTTGTTTTGTGAATGCGTATGTGTTATTGTTGTGTGTGATACAGCGTATAGTAGAAAGTAATACATGAGTGGATATAGATGTGAATATATACTAGTAATAGGGAGAATTATATATATATATAATATAATATGTACTATAGGTATATATATTTATATATAGGACAGTTATAGTATATATGGAATATATAGTAAGTAGTATTAGGTATATAAAGATTATGTGTTGTGTCTGTGTGTCTGTGTGTGTGTGTGTGTTTGTGTGTGATGTGTGTGTGGAACAGGGATTGAGGAGGAAGGAGGTGATGGGAGTGGCGTCGTGGTGTTGTACGCTGTTAGTGGGTGTGTAAGAGAAAGCGGGTACTGTGGAGGAGCAGCGGTGTGTGTGGAGATGTGGTGTGTGGTGTTGTGTGATAGTTGGTGGCTATTAAGGAATGTGAAGAATGGGCATAAGTAGTATAGTAGGAGGAAAGGGCTATATATGTATATATATATGTATATTATGGGGTATATATAGTTATATATATATGTTATTATATATATACATGGCGAGGCTATATATATGGAAGTAGGGTAGGGTACTACGGGCCTAGTCGTAACTGAAGCGGTAGGAGCTCTATATAATTAAAACTCAATGGGCTATACACCTCTCTATATTGAGACCCGACCACACCTCAACGAAGATAATATATATATGTCGTTGGGTGGCTGTCGGTGTATAGTGAGTGTGATAGTTGTGTATGTAATCGGTGGTGTCGTCCGCTGTAAGTCTGGCTGTCTGATGCCTGATGTGAACGATGCCTAGTGCCTTAGGTATAGTACTAATCATACAAAGTACACTAAATAATATATTAATGATATATATATATAATATATATATATATATATATATATATATATATTATAATATATATATAAAGGGGAGGGGAAGGGGAGAGGGAGATGGAACGATAACTAAATGAAGAGAGAGAGAGAGAGAGAGAGAGAGAGAGAGAGAGAGAGAGAGAAGAGAGAGAGAGAGAGAGAGAGAGAGAGAGAGAGGAGAGAGATGAGAGTGGGAGATTATATATGTATATATATGTACATTTACTATATATATATATATATATATATATATATATATATATATATATATATATATATATATATTATATATATATACAAGTATTGATAAGAAAAGGATAAACAATGCCTTCCCGATGTGTCTTTGTATATATATGTACTTGCAACTTCTGCATGAGACGGCGCCCTATTTGACGCAGCCACTTCCAAAAAACTAACTATATAACCTCAAAATTACTCCATAAAACTCGGTCTTCCAGGACAACCAAGCACAATTCGGACAGTTCCCGTGGATGGCCGCAATCCGGACGCTAAACCCACGCGCAGACGACCCTATGTATGGCTATATTGGCGGTGGGTCGCTCATCCACCCAGGTATTGTCATGACAGCGGCACATAAGCTTCGGGAGTAAGTATTACTGTTTTAACGAAAGACGTGGTTGTGGTTCACTACGTATTCTCGTGATGGACACATAGTCTAAAGCGGAGACAGTAGTTATTTGTTTGTTGCTTTGGTCATCATTAACATAATAATGATGGTCATCGGCGTATTCATGATCGTATATATAAACCTATTATAGACAATACAATTGTCATTGCCATTATCATTATTATCATTATCATAATTTTTATCATTATTATCATTACCATTATCATCTATATTATTATTATTAAGTAAATAAATAAGAACATTATCGTTATCATTACCTTTAGTAATATGCCGATCGTCATAAGTATAAGTTTCATCATTAAGGTAAATCCTTAGCATACATTTTCATCACTATAATTTCATCATCTACATTATCATCATTATTTCTGTAACTGCCTTTGCTATGATATTGTTTGTGTTGAAAATACTTCTAAACCAACATTCTGTCTGCTCTTTCTCAAGTCGTAACCCAGAGGACTTAGTGGTACGTCTAGGCGAGTGGGACTTCAGCTCGACCTCTGAAACCATCGAGTACCAAGAAATCCCCTTGGAACGGGTCGAATGCCATCCACAGTTCTCCTACAAGCACCTCAAGTACGACGTGGCTCTGCTCTTCCTTGCAACCGAGGCTGTGCTGGGATCCACCGTCGATACGATTTGCCTTCCCGAGCACGAGCACGACTTCGACGGCTCCACCTGCGTCAGCTCCGGCTGGGGAAAGAGCAGCTTCGGGGAGGGCGGGAAGTACCAAGAGGTATGTTACATAGTATTTAATTATCTGCCATTGTTTGTTATTTTGAAAGTATGTAGGCTACGGTGAGTGAGTATATATGCGTAGTGTATTATGCGCTCTATGTGAAACTAGAAGTGTGTTTGAGATCAGGGGTGATTTTCCTGTTAGTTTTTACCTTTGTTTTTTGCCCGTACAAGACTATTTTTTCTATCAACATAACGAGATATTATCAGTTTGCGAAAGAAGGAAAGATAACGGACAGCCAAGAGAGGCTTGAATCCTTTCCACACAATCTGCAAAATCAAAAATACTTTGTACCACGCAACACACTCTTTCCAGATCCTGAAGGCCATAGACCTGCCAGCGATGAGCCACAGCCAGTGTGAAGCTGCTCTTCGAACGACGAGACTCGGGCCCACGTTCTCCCTGGATGAAACGTTCGTGTGTGCCGGCGGCGAGGGGGGCGACCTCTGCACGGGGGACGGGGGCTCGCCGCTTGTCTGTCCGAGCCTCGACGACCCTTCGCGTTATGTGCAGGTTGGTTGTTTCGAAATTGTTGGATTAATCTCGCAATCTTAAACATACATCAGTAGTGGATACTTTTTATACACACGCCCGCACTCAAACACACACACACACACTCTGTAAGCGCCCGAATGTTGGGCCTTACAAGAGTTTGGTAGATGGCGAGCTTAGGGATTAAAGTAGACAACCGAGATGTCTTGACTCCATTATTAAATAGCAAAGTTGGACTGCGGCTGCTCCTCGAAGCGAGGTGTTGCTCCATGGCTCCTCGCAAGGAGTTGTGGAGGAGTTAGACAACACAGCATTGGAATGTCTGGTGTGGCAAGAAGAGAGGAAAAACAGGGTGTATGCATATGTATATGTATGTGTGAGGATACGTGTATGACAAACATGTAAGATTATATAAATATGTAACATATCAATAAGATATAGATATAGCTGAGTTACACATACACACACACACAAACACACACACACACACACATGCTAAGAGAGCAATGATATGCATTCAGGGCTGTGGCATATTACTGGAGCAAATGCGGCTTTTCATACAAATTAAATTAATCAATTCCAGGTGGGCGTCTCTGCGTGGGGCATCGGCTGTGGACAACGTGGCATTCCAGGGGTCTATGCTTCCGTGATGGCGGCTATGCCCTGGATCCGTACTGTGCTTGAAACGGACATTGGTTTCGATATCCGCAATGCATTCCTGTGAGGAAAGTGGGGAGAGCAAGGAGAGAGAGAGAGAGAGAGAGAGAGAGAGAGAGAGAGAGAGAGAGAGAGAGAGAGAGAGAGAGAGAGAGAGAGAGAGAGAGAGAGAGAGAGAGAGAGAGAGAGAGAGAGGAGGTTGTCGTGAATCACGGGTTTCGCCGTGACCACGACGTAATAAGTCATCAAAAAAAAAACCTCTCACGATCCATCTCCCTCAGGCATAAGAAAACTTCGAAAAACGGGGCGCACAAGGAAAGAAAACGCGGCCACTCCTCCTCCTCCCTTTTATTGTTTTGTTTTGTCAGTTTTTTTTGTATTAAACGTTTTTTTTTTGTGTGTGTGTGTTTTTACCCTTACACCTAAATGCAAGGAACTGCAACATATATTAAGAATTGGCGGAAAAGGTGAGAATAAGGAGGAATTACGGGTTTTATCTTTTTAATTCACTTTTTATTATTTTAGTTCTTTTGGATTCTTTTACATAGGTATTCTGTTAATCTTAATTTTCTAATGACGCTTTTTTAAACGTCAATAACTTGAGATTACATTCCTTAATTACACTTTTTCGCGCTAAGAACGAAACACGAGAGGCATTAAAAGGGGGATTGGTCTTTGGATCGTTTGTGAGGAACCCGGTAATGGTCTTCCTCGAAAGATAAGTGGGCGTGAGTTTTATCTCTTTAGGTTACAGGAAAGATTCATGATCTTTTTTTAGTAAAGCTTAAGTGATT